CAGTCCTGTTATTTCACTGCAGAGCACTGATTTTCTGCACTCAATTCACAATAACCTGTAGAGAATGACTACTATATTTATTGACATTCTGCCTACCTTGAACCTGAAGGCAAGAGTAGAAAGTGGATGTTGGCTGCTGATCAACAGGAACGTCATCAGCAGGAACGTCATCAGCAGGAACAGCCATGAAGCATGTGAGCCCCTACACTGTACATGAATGTACCAGGAGCCATTTTTGTCACTCTGCATGACTGAGTTCTAGAGACCACAACTGAGACTTTCAGAATACAGAGATGGTCCTCAGATTGAATCTGTGCTTGTAACCATGCATTGGCTTTTGTTCAGTTCCACTAAAAAAAGAGAGCTGAAGAGTCAAGTATATAAATCCTGCCTCAATGCATTAAGACACTGGTTTAGTGACAGCACTGCCTTTCAGATGAACAGCTGGATTTTCACTTCAGGTTTGGCAGCTTGTGGGGACTTGCAAATGCAACACATTTTTGCCCTGAGTACAAGACGCACAAAGCACAAATACACAATAAGCAAAAGAGAAGGAAGAAAAAAAATGTGCTGAAAATTCTTTTCTCAAGTTAATAAAACATTAATTCCTATTTTAAAGGCCACAGCAGATTCCTGCTGGTGAGCTTTGGTGTGTGTGGAGCAAACAGGAGATAAAAGTCTGTTTGCATAGGAAATCTCTAACAGCTTAGCTATCTACAACACCCTGTTACCAGAGCCACCCTTGACCCTGATGGTGCTGGACACCCCTATCAACAGCAGTAGAACAACACTGGAGGTGGTAGTTCCTGTTTAGCAGGCCATAAGCCACTTTTAAATGGCTTATATACAATTAGTGGTACACACACCACTGTTTGGGAACTCCACTCTAAAACAAAGCCAGGGAAAGCACTGAACTTCCTCTGGATTTGGACTAGTAGGGTTCCAATCATATAGCAATTTAAACAGTGGGGTTTTCTTTCAGAACCAGAAATTAGAATTAGATAGCCAATTTTCTGCATGTTCAGAAAAAAAGGGTTCATTACTCAGCCCACCTCAATTTCTCACTAAAACCTCCCCTCTTAACTTTCTCATTTAATGTGATTCATCGCCTCTTTAATGAAGTCACAGAAACATATGGCAGTTTCTTGCACTGCAGCAAGGCCTACTTGCTGATATTCAAGAATAAATCCTTGCTGGATACTTAATTAAAGCTCTATTTCACACCTTTTTCACTGCAGTGTGGAAAAAAACCCCATGTTGCCAAACCCTCCTTGAACATAGAGTCCATCTCCTCTGTGCTCAGAGCAGTGACTGAGCACTGGCACAGGTTGCCTTGGCAGGTTGTGGAATATCCACTCCTGGAGATACTCAAAAGCCAACTGGACACAGTTCTGGGCAACCAGCTCTAGGAGGCCCTGCTTGAGCAGGGGAGTTGGACCATGTGACCTTCAGAGTTCCTTTCCAACCTCAATCACCTTGTGGCTCTGTAAATAAACTGCCTCACTGAAATCAAATGAGTCTTTGGTGTGTGCTTTACTCAAGATCTCATGGCTGCTTGTCCACCAAATTACTTACCTAAAGCCACTCCCTGGGTCCTTGAAATTAAGGGCTTTCCCAGAAAAGTTTAGGAGAGGCCGGGACAGCTTGGTAGCCAGCATCCTTTCAATTAATGCACTCTACCAACAGCAAGACTGTTCTTCCTTAGCTCTGCAACACAAGATAGCACCTCTGTTTTAGTTGCTCAATTATTTTGTAAGACATGCTGACTCCATGTATTTCAACAAGAAAATAAAGTCCAAAGGAACTCATCTTTTCCCCTTGCAGTTCCTCACGCTGAGATAAACAGCTCAACCTTGAACCGCTTCAAGATGCTTTTAAATAAGGAAAAGCATTATAAGTAAAGTACCAAGCAGAGAGGCATCTGAACAAAATGTGAATTTCTCCTTTAATGCATCTTTAACTGTATTCTCTGAAACAGGTAAAAATTAAGGTACTTACATGGAATGTACTATTCAAGTGAGCTATATGAAATAATTTTAAACTAAAATATAACTTCAAGTCACAGGTGATGTCATGTTACATATTTCCAAAGGAATCCTTGGGCTTTACAGTTAAAGATACGTTTCTTTGCAATTAAGTAGCTGGTGACACTGGACTAAGCACAGGGAACCACCATTAAACTCACTACAGGGTGAAAACAGCCAAAGAACAAGACTTAGTTATGGAAAGTCAATTTCAATCACATTTATCTTGGATGAAACTGATCCATGGAACAAAAACAAACCCAAACCAAAACAAAAACATTTCCCCAGCTTAACGCACAGCCTCCTTTATTGAAGCCGAGAAACGGGATCTAATTGTTAGGGCTTGTTTGCATCTCTGCCGAAGGCTGGGCCGCCGCCGCGGCAGCTCCGGGGCCTGCTGGGAGCCAGGCCCGGGCTGAACAACAGCGGGATTACCGCAAAAACAGCAGCGGTGGGCACCGAGCTGCGGAGGGAGGGAGCGGTGCGGGCTCAGGAGGACACGTCGGCTTGGTTAATCCTCAGAAATCCCGGTGGTTTGATCAAATTTTGGAGCTCGGCTGGTGCCCCGCGGTTTTTTGCGAGAAGGTTTGCAGGGAGCGGGCGAGGCGCGGGGTCCCCGCGGGCCCCCAGCCCGGCCCAGCCCCTCTCCGGGGCGCGGCTGCCGCGGCCCCGAACGCGGCCGAGGGACCCGAGGGGGCGCGGCCCCGGCCCGGCCCGGCCGCGTGGGGCGCTGCGGGCGGGGCCGCGCTGGGGGATGCCGGAGACCCCCGTCCGCCGCGGGCAAGGTCGCCGTGCGGACCGGCTGTCAGGGCTCCAGCAGGGTACCGCGACCCATCCCCCGCCCGCGCGTTACCTGGACCGGCGGGTGCCGGACGCTGCTGCCGTTTGAATGAGGCTGGGCCGGGGCCGCGGTGCCGGGCGCGGCGGGGGCGGGCCGGGGCAGGGCCGGGCCGGCGGCGGCGATAGGCTGCGGCATGGGGAGCTCGGCGGGGCTGCTGCTGCGCTGGGCGCTGCCGGCTGCTGGTCCTCCGCCTCCTCCTGCCGCGGCGGGCTCGCCGCGCCCTGCCGTGAGTACCCGGAGAGGGGCCGGGGCCCGCCGGGCACAGCCCGCCCCGAGCGCCGCCAGGCCGAAATGGCGCCAGCCGTGTAGCCGGGCCGGGGATGGTGTCGCAGCCGGACGGCGGGGCCGGCTGGGCTGGTGGAGCCGGGCACACAGTGCGAGGGGGCGAAGCGCCGAGCTGGCACGGCCCGGGGCATGTGCAGACCCGCCGCGGGGCTCGGCCGGTCCGTGGTGCGGCGGGCGCTGCCCTCGGACCCGCGGCGCGGCGGCTGCTCCGCTGCGCACCCCGGTGTGCCTCACTTGGAGGGGAGTGTGTTGATAGAATCAGAGAATTGGGTTGGAAGGGACCGTAAAGATCATCCAGTTCCACCCCCCTGCCGTGGGCAGGGACACCCTTCACTGGACCAGGTTGCTCCAAGCCCCGTCCAACCTGGCCTTGAACGCTTCTAGGGATGGGGCACCCACAGCTTCTCTGGGCAACCTGTGCTAGTGCCTCACCTCCCTCAAGTAAAAGTTTTTTCCTAATATCTAATCTGAACCTACTCTATTTCGATTTGAGCCCATTCTCCCTTGTACTGTTACTATATGCTCTTGTAAACAGTCTTGCCCCATCTTTCCTGTAAATTCCCTTCAGGTACTGGAAGGCCACAATTAGGTCACCCCAAAGCCTTCTCTTTTCCAGGCTGAACAGTCCCAATTCTCTCAGCCTTCCCTCATAGGAGAGGTGCTCCATCCCTCTGATCGATTTGATAATGTCAGAGTAGAGCATAAAAGGGAACTGAATCAAAAAACAAGTAGCACAACAGAAGATAAAAGTCTAGGCAAGCATGGTGGGTTCCCACATTGTCTACGGAGACAGGCTGAAAAAGTAGATTCAGTTTCTCCAGCCTGTTCTGCAATAAACATGTATCATTTTGATAGATCACCTGTATTAGTAAAATTAATTCTACAATGTAATAAAGCAGTCATTCCCAGTAGAAAAAGCTGGTGAGGTGTGTGCATCTGAGCTGGCTGCAGGTTAAAATCAGGCTGCCCTGCTGGGGCTGTTTGAACTGTGAGGTTTGTATATTGCAGTGTTGTGGATCACACAGCAAGGACACAGGCAGTGTTACTCTGCCCACATGCCACAGCAACACCTCTGGTACCACAAGTTATTCTGTGCTTGTAGCAGGTCCCAGGTGCCCTGTCAGCACTGTGTGTGAGAGCTGTCCCCTGTACAGTGTTTCCTGAGCTCTGCATGAACGTGAGTGAAGGAGGCAGCTGAAGTTCCTCAGAAAGCTCATTAAGGTCACTGTGCTGATAGCTGGTCCTCTCTTCCTGTCCCAGCACTGAGCCAGACTGTAAGCTGCAGACTGACCTTATCAAACTCCAGGAACAGGCCCATTAGGCTTTATCTTGGGACCTTATCCTTTCAAAAGATAAGGATAACTGGGATTGTCTGTGTTTGGAAGTTTTTCTGGGATAGGATCTTTTTTGCTGGGAATGGGGTTGATCCCTGCTCTCACCCCTTAGCTCTTTGTCCATCAGGCACGGCACGAACAGGTGCAGGTACAGATGTGAGATCCAGTACATCCCCTGGGTTTTTGCACGCTTGTGGGTGCTGCTGAAACCTCAGGCTGTTAGGAGCCATGCTGCTGTAGTCATGTTTTATTACCAGCAATTAGGGTCATGGCAAATAATTAACGAATAATCACAGGAACCTTCTCATACTGTAGGTTCTCATACTGTAAGTTGTTCCTCACTTTTCTTGCTCTTATAGGCAGCTGAGAGGATTTTTAAATCTCCTCCTTTCTGTCTTTTTCTTTCCATGGGCCAGCTGCTTGAGTTATTGCAGGAGGTGGCTGACAAATTCTGTGATCTGGCTCATGCTTGATTCTCATCTCTCTTGGAGTTGTGTCACTGTCAGTTAAATTAAGTCTGAGCACTGTATATTTAATTCTCACTTATCTTTTGTCCTTTAGCTATCGCTATCTTCAGAGCTTTAGGAGAGCTAGTCTGTAGCTGGGTGCTCTTTGTCTGAAACAGGAGTCGGTGTTAATGTGGGTGTTTGTATGATAAATGCAAGATAGACTTTTGATCAGTTCTTGTTTCAGCTTCAGCTCATGACTCCCCTTTGAGAGCAATAACTTCAACATGAGTTATAGGACTGGGTGTAGCTTATTTGCTTATTGCTCTCTGCTTAGGCTCACCTGAGTTTGTGCAGTAATGCTCTGATCACTATCACCCTGCAATTATCCCTTATTGCTGCTTCACTGCACTGAGTGTCAGCAAAGCAAGAGATGAGAGAGCAATGGTGATTGACCCATTTCTGGGTCTGAAAAAGTGACTGGACAAGCCAGTGCACTTAATACATAAGTATGTTCATATTCCAGCCATTGTGAATACAGTAACAGGGAATATTAGTTGCAGATATCTCCATAGAGATGGAACTGACCTCACTTCCTTATTGCATCCTCTAGACTTTTATTGCTGTATCACACTATTGCCTCATGGGTATGGTTCCAGCTTGGAGCGCTGTGCAGCACAGCAGCTGGCAGCCTGCCAGTTGGGTTAAGTGTTAGGGGTTCGTTGCTTCACAGCTGTGGTGAGAGGATGACTTTCAAGCAAAGACAGAGGGTGAATGGGCTTCTCTTCAGGATCTGGGATTCTGGATTTTGGATTTCTCAAACCTGTTGTGTCATACCAGATGGAACATCAAATCTTCTCTCTCAATTTATCTGTCAGTCAAAAGACAATAATGATGTAGGAGAGAACTGTAGGATTTGACAAGTTATTCCTCTTAAGACTGACAAGTTTCAGAAGGAAACTCTAACCTGCAGTCACATTCCTTCGTGCTAAAATACAGCAAGGAAAGTGCTGCATAGAGTGGGAGTAGGTGGGGAACAGACAGTCATCATTGGCAGCTAAAAGAGCTGCTGTACTGTTCAAGCCAGTGACATCCTGCCATTTGGATGTTTTCTGTGCTGCTTTTTCTTATAATGTCTATGAGCTGGTAGATCATTAACTTCGTTTTAAATGTTTCTGTTCTCCTTTGGCCACTGGCACTTGAAAGAAAAGAGTTCCTGTTCTAGCTCAGGTATCAAGGCAACACAAATTGTTACAGGCCAGCAACTGAATAAATTTAGGATTTCACAGTAGCTGGGAGCTGGCTGTGTTTCTACACTACAGTCTTGTCACCTTGTTTATGCTGGTTGACCCACTGAAATTACTGGGATTAGGCTGCAGTCAGGTTCATGTGCAGACAGGTGCCACTGTGACTTGCACCTGGAATTGTACCTCCTAAATGGTGTCTGGCCCTGGCTGCAGCTGGCTCCTATGGTGTGGGGCAGGGTGCTGGTGGTGCCTCCATGCAGTGTCTCATGATATTGTATGACTGTCTTTCCCATGCAGGCTGAAGGGAAGGCGGTGCTAATAACAGGCTGTGACAAAGGTTTTGGACATGCCTTGGCAAAACACCTTCATGCAAAGGGATTTACTGTTTTCGCTGGATGCTTGCTCATGGTGAGTAGTGATATCGATCAAAATTCTTCTCTGATTAGAGAAAAGTGCTTCTCAAGTCAGAACATTTTCATCAGCAGTCTCCTTTTACCCCAACCCAAGACCTGAGAGAGGTGCAGTGGGCACGGATCGTTACATCTTCCATTGTTTCATGTGCCTGTTGCATCTTGTCATTCCCATAATTCTGAGCTCTTTATGGCAGGGTTTGTCTGTCAACTGCATGTCTGTACAGCAGCTTGCACAGTAGGGCACTGCTCACTGCTAAAAGCCTCTCAGCAATACCACAGCACACTCAATAAATCTGACAGGCCAGGACTGCTGTGGCACTATGACTTTCTGACTTCCCTGGCATCCTTGTTGCTGTCCTTCACACTGTCACTTTTGTGGACTCGCTCCTCAAACTCATTTTTAAGCTGTCTCTCCTGCATTATTCAGGCTCTGTTTCCAAAATGTCTTCTAATTGTGCTTCTGCAGCTTCTGTAGAAGCTATTTGGTTTCTAGATACCTGAATAAACAAATTTACTGTACCTTTCTGACATCTGTAGGTCTCTGTGTTTGTTTGTAGGTCTCTGTGTTTGGTGGGAGGCATCACTTGTAAGAGATAGGTTTAGACACACTGAATCAAAAGGGGTTGCAGACCCCTCATTCCACAGTCCCTGCTCTTGCATGACACTTACAACTTAGTGTTATGAAGTCCTCTTTACAAACTGGGTCAGCTTCACTTCCATCTCAGCTGGGATTTTACCCCTGCTTTGTTTTTTTGCTATTTGATAGTCACAACTCATGTAATTTCTGACCTGGATTGTTCAAGATCAGTTCATAGCCACTCATTTCTCCATTTGAAGATGGCCATTTTAGCACAGGTGCTCAGGGAGTGATGACCACAGATTTTTGAGTACTGTGGAGAGTGAGAATGAACAAAAGTGCCCCTCTTTGCCTTGTGTGATCATGGCAGAGGTTATGTTCTTCCCCCACACCAGAAGGGAAAGTTATTATCAGCTGACATATTGTGTAACTTGAGAGCAAGAGAGTCCTGTTGGAAAATTGCCACTGTTTGGAAATTTCCATATGGAGGCTTTGTGTAATTCCTTCAGTAATCATGTCATATGCTGCTTTGGGATGCCTGTCTGTGCTGATAGCAATTCAGGCACTCACTTTGCAGAGCAGCAGATATAGGGAACAGAAAGGAGAGGGGAGATAGGGCAGGCTGAGGGGGCTGTTTGGAAGGCAGCGTGTGGAGCAGAGAGGGAAAGGCTCTGCTGGAAGCCACATAAAGAAATTAAATGCTCCTGAAGTGAGCCTTGCTTGCTTGCTTTATTGACTGTGAGCTGCTGTAGCTTCCCCGCAGGGTCAGAGCAGGTGTGGGGGCAGTTGTCATAAAGCTGGTGCCATACTCTTAGTTCACACCTAGTTAGTCCATCATCACTTACTTACATGCTTTTATACAGAGACTTAAAGGATCCCTAATGTACTAACCATTACAGAAAGCTCTTGTATTAAATACAAGGTAATAGACTGTCAGGTGCATCAGGGGCTTCTTACTGATCAGATAGTCAAATATAAAGTTACAGGAATAACAAGAATACTTCAGGCAGGCTGGGATAGAACTGGAGAGGATCAAATGCAAAAGGGATTACATTTAGTAAGTGCAGGTAAACCCACAGACAAAGTTTCTGTTAATATATTAGGATTAAGATGGAAAAGCACACAGAAACAGATTATAAAGTAACCCGAAATGTAGAAAGTACAGCAAAAGTTGAAATAATCGTCTTCTGTTCTTTGATCCTACTGAGAAAAGAATAAATTGTTTTCAGATGCCTACTGCCAGCAGTTGTCATGAGGACATGCAGGCAAGAAAAGGTAAAGAGCAGGGAATGTTTAGATAAATAGAACATGTTCAAGTTCATCAGGCCTGATGAAATGTACTGATGGGCATTTAAAGGATGAGCCGTTGTGATTTCTGCCCCATGGGTGATACTTTCCAGAGCACCTGGAGGCCAGGAGATTTCCAAAAGGCTGGAAGAGGGCAGATATTGTACTTCCCTTCCCAAAGGAGATAGACCTCTGAAATTGCCTACCAGGCAGTTCACCTTCAGTGCACTAGATGCAATTGCCACACACTGCTCTGTCAGTTTTACAAATGATGGGATCACAGTGTGATGGACACTGTCTGTGTAAGTTTACTGGGAACAGACTGTGCCCTGTCAGTCTAATCCTATTCTGGCTAAGCAGCAAGGTAGTTAAAGAGAAAGGAATAAATGTATCCTGAATCGCATTTTGTTAGAGTCCCTCATGCTAGTCTCATGAGCAAACTTGTGCTCTAAGTGACTTGTGCTCTAAGTTCAGTCCCAGGACCATTTTCTTGGAAGTACCCTCTGGAAGAGAATTTTCACTTGGAAAAAAATATGCCCAGAACCAGGCAGAGAAGACTGTAGGCCCTTTGGGGGATAGGGTTCAAAATGATCCTGACAGATCGGATGGAGTCTCAAACCAATTACGTGAAATCCAGTAAGGACAAGCACGAGGTGTTCCGCTCAGGAAAGGCAGGAAGGGAGCGGGTGGATGGGCAGCAGCAGGGTGGGGAGGAACTGGCGCAGATAGAGCAGGCTGGCTGGATCCACGGGTGTTCAGCATTGTGTTTGTGGCTTCCTGATTCCCCCTGACATCTCACTGCAGGTGCCTGAGTGCTTGCCAGAACTTAATCCTGAATCCCATGAGCTTCCCTGGGAAAAAGCCATGGCTATGTCTGTTACAGGAGGGCTCTCTGCTAACAAATGCCTGTGTGATCTGCCTGTTCCTCATCACCACTGCGTTGGGATTCTCCAAACCAGATCGGGGGAGAGGAACGAGCAAGGGGAGGGGGAAGCAGCCAAAAGCTGGAGCAAGATTCCTCAGCTGGGTAGAGAGGGATTGTGGGGCTGTTGGGTTTCCTGGCCTGGAGCAGCCCCTGCTGAGCACAGGGTGGGATGGGCAGGCAGAGCCGTGCAGGGCTGTGGGGGCAGGATAACCAGGGGAAAGGAGATAGCTGGGAGGAAATGGCAAAGTCCTGCTGAAGGCCTCTGGAGAGTACTTAGGCAGCAGGCTGGGCTGGAGCAGGATGGCTTTCAACTCTGAAGGAACTGGGAAGAGGAAGCTGGGAGATTCTCTGAGAGGACAAAAATCAGACAAAGTGACAGCAAAGGGAGAGGGAGAAGGGCTTTGCAGGAGCAGTTGGGCCATTGCTGCCAAGACCTCGCTTGATTCATGGCTCCTGCTGGTGAATCCCAAGATCAGGAAGGTCATCCCTGGGAGGACAGCCTGGCTGGTCCCATGGGAACTTCTCCAGGTGTTTTCCCAGCCAGCAAATCTACCATTAAAAAAACAAGGAGGATGTACCATGTGGGTGTCTCAACAGGAAATGTGCTTACAGCCCCTGAAGACCACAGAACATATGATGATGTTCAGTTGCTTCCATACAAATACATGGCTGCTTCATTTGTGAAGAGGTTTTCTGGACAAAGGAGTTGAGCACTTTGTTTTACAGTTAAACAGTGGCTGAAGTGGTATCTACAACTATGAAAAGTGGTTCCAATTGATATTGCATATTGAAGTCAGTCTTCCAAAATCAATATGTTTTGTCAACAATGAATAAACTGTAGCTGGGAAAGTAACTTTGCAGATAGAGTTGCATTGGTGATAGGGGAAAATTCATCTCAATATGAACAATACAAACCATTTATGTTGGATTTTTAGGTTGCTGTCCTGTGACTCTGTTTCTAAAAAAACAATGGAGATATTTCTTGTTTAGTTTATAAGTATTGTGAAAGATTAAAAATATGTAGGGAAAGGTGTTGTCAGTGCTGAAATGACAACTAGCACTTGAATACAGATATACTTACGTTTTCATTTTTATGTAGATACCATAAAGCTCTCTCTGTACAAGCTGAATTAGCTCCACGTTTTTCACTGTTAAGTAGCCAAAAGTTGCTTTGTATAACTCAGTGGAGATGCAAGAGCATCTTCCAGAAATACAGTCAGGCATCATACAACCTTCATCTGTTTCAAAGGGAATAAAATGTTTTGGTGACTATGTTATTGGCTACTTGTAATGCCACTTTCAGAGACTGTTTTTGTGGCCAGATAAGAAGCCAACGCAACACCACATCACGTTCGATGAGCACGAGAAAAGCTTCAAGCTGTATTTGCTGTTCTAGTGATACTGGGAAATAAGTGAGTTGTGAAATAACATGCAGCCATGGGGCCAGGAATTCGTTCCTACTATTGTCATAATGGCAGTGTAACTATATATTGATTTTTAAGAGAGCTGCCCTGTTTTGCTCAAAGCTGTGATGGACATTTCATCTCTTTTCGTTGATTACATGTCATTGTTCACCGGACTGAAGGTGGACGTGAGATGTTGTATACTGTATTAATTAAATAGCCTGAGATACTTATAAAAAACTAAGCAGTTATGTTTTTTATATCTGCCTGTCTGCAGAGGCAGCTGAGCAGGTGACTGTGGGAGGGTCGCTCGCCTTGTTTGCCCTCGTGCTGTGGGAGTTGATAACGAGTGCTAAAGGAAGAGTGGCAGCCAGGCACGGTGACTCACCAATTCATAACTTCTTCCTCCCTAAAGAGGCAGAGCCTGTGACACAGGGAACAGTTTTGTGAATTAAATCTCAAGCCTGCTGTGAAACTGCACGGCTAATCTATTCTCTTTTCACTTTTATTTGTTATTTACCACCTGAGCAAGGCTGTAAGGCTTAGGCAGCAATCCTGCCTGGAAGTGAGCAGGTAAAGTTCGGAATTTTGTCTGTGTTTATGTTTGAATAAACAAAAAACCACCACAACAGTAACAGAATCTCTAATGATAGCAGTGGAGTGAGGAGGAAAGAAAGGAAAGCAAAGCCATCATGTTCTTATTGCCTATAGTGTGAAAAAAAAAATCTGTTCTTTCTTTCTTAGCCAGAATCTCCTTTCATGCCTCATGTCTGTAATCATGCTGTTGTGTAGCAGATCTCCACTGAGCATCTGTGCTGCTGTGCAGTAAGAGCACAATATTGTATAGGTTGAGCTGTGAATGTTTCCTGCTGTATCCTGTACATCAGACTGTTTGCTGTTAGCCATGCTGAGGGGCTGTTAGCCATGCTGCTGTCTTGTTTTCAAAGTGGTCTGACAATACTATTTCATTAGAACCCAGGCAGTATTTTGAGATGACATGAGTACAGTGCCTAATTAGGTGTTTGCTTTTAAGCCTGGAGTATCTGACTCCAATCTCCTTATAAGTGTTTGCTGTGTCACCTGTGGAGTGTGAAGACTGAGGTAGTGGAGTCACCCACAGTTTTCCCAGGCTGGCACAGTATTTCACCATTTTACAGATGTGAAACCCACCATGTGAGGAGCCAGCAGCAGGGGGGCTTCATGGCCCCTCATGGCAGTGGGTCACCGATGCAGTTATAGAAGTAGTGCTGGAGGAAACAGATAGAAGGCATGTGGGTTTGTGTGGATTCTGTGCTTTTTTGTGCACCAGGTTTACACCTCTGTATGTCAATAGCTTCTATTTCCTGACCATGTGAACATACCTGGCCCCAAACTGCATTACTGTTCTTGGTCCACCTTAGTGGGACACCTTTCTGTTCTGCTGAGCAGGATGAGAATGGAGATGGAGCCAGGGAGCTGAAGAACATGAAGTCAGACCGCATGAAAGTGCTACAGATGGATGTGTGCAGTGATCAGGAGGTGGCTCAGGCTGTGGATTTTGTGAAGAGGACCCTGAAGAAGCCAGAGAAAGGTATGTGGGGATCTCTTGTTCACAGAATCCTTTCTACAGAGCAGGCCATGCACTGACCAGGTCATTCTCTCTCTGTACTGCCAAAAGAGGATTAACAAGCCTGAAGGCCTTGTATGGCTAGCAGTCAGGCAGTGCTGTCCCCAGGTCAGTGAGGACAATTGTCTTGCTGTTGATGTGGCAGCCACATGGAAAGAGACCAAGACTGGCTGGAGGATTAGGCTTTAACTCTGCATCCCATAAAAAGCAAGAAGTGGCAGCAAGCCCACAAGTGTCTGTGTGTTTGTCCTTGAATATCTGTGAAGGGCATGGAATGGCCAGAGCTTGATCCCTTCCATGTGCTCCTGCCACAGCCTGGCTCATGCAGACCTTGCTAGTGACCCTGCTAATGAAGAGGTGACAGGCCCTGGCTGCTTAGTGCAGTCCCCTCTGCTGTGCAGGTACAACTGAGCGCTGCTGGAGCACAAATCTGACCTGCCCCGAAACCTGCATTGATCTTCATCTGGGTCAGTCCATGTCTCCAGTTTGCCATGCAACATCCCAGAGGTGATATGAAGTGGGATCTAGGGCGGGCTTGGTATGGATGACCTTAATCCACGTGTCACCTTAAGCATAAGTCCAACTCATGGATCCTAAAAGCATGTTAAAGAAGATAGGAGTCCCTTCTTTCCTTCTTGCGAATGGTTTGGCAGAGGGATGTGAGTTTACAGCCTGGTGTGACACCACCTATCCTCTTCCCATGTAGTGAGGTTGTGAGGCTTCTTGCCCTGCATAGGTTTCTCTGCAGCCTCTGTGCCAGTAGCGAGCCGGGCAGCAGCTGTAGACACAGGCTGAGAATGAACTGAAGTTTGGCGTCTGTGGCTCCAGGACTTCAGGGTTGTGTGACTTGAAGGTGGTTGCTCCTCTTGAAGCTTGGAGGAGACTGCCATGGCCCTGTCTTTGTTCACAGCAAGTATAAAGCTAATAAATAACAATAGCTCTAATCTTCACGCAAATAATGTGAGCACACCTTTCCTCCTAAAACAAGCATATGAAATGTAACTGAGTAATGCACAAGCTCTGATCCCACACACGTTCTCTCTGCATGGCTTTTCTTCCTACACAATCACCCAGCCCTCATCACGTATTTCACAGCTTCTCAAGCTTTTCCTGAGGAGCCCAGCAACAGCAGTGGTGACACAGAGCCATTTCCCACTGAGTGAAAGCTTGGAAAGGAGCAGCTCTGTTGCTTCTATTAATGCAGCAGTGTTTGCAAAACTGTGTGTGTAGCAGGGACAGAGAAGCGAGTTGGACCGGTTCCTCCTGCTCTTGAGAGCCTTATCCTGTAGCTGTTTGCTCCAGCACGGTGTGCAAAGCAACAAAGGCTTCTTTTTAGGCCCATCAGTGTGACTGAGATTGGAGGCTTGCCAATAAAATAGTGGTCAGTAAATAAGTGCTGGCATATAGAGACTATTGAGGTGCCTTGCACAGAGGTGGTTGTTGCACACTGAATGTTGCCCCAAAGGAGCTACTGCAGAACAGTTCTTGTGCTGTACAGTTTTTGTACCTCTTCTCCCTGAGCTGTGTACATAAGGCTGAACTAATTTCGATAGCAGTGCCCGTTTGTTTTTGGTCTTATGCAGTTCCCACTGTATTGTTGACACTACAGACATAATAGTGATAAGGCTCTGCTCAATAAACACACCACTGTCCAGCAAACAGCCCCGTGCCTGGGCACCCCTCAGCACTTTGTTCTGTATGTAACGTGCCCTGATGGGTGAGCAATGGAATTCCAACAACAAAGTATTGTAAACAGTGATTCAGGGACGTTCATGAAAACTAACCTCATAACCCAGGAAATGGAAATGGTTGTAGAGAAATTTACAGGAATTTGTCAGGAATGCTCTGCAGACGTCAGTTTCTGTCTAACAGTTGATAAGTCTTTGGTAAATCCCTGCCAAATTTGCTCTACATAGTTTCTTGTTACTGGTGAAATTACCCCATCAGGTGCTCTGTTTCCATGGTCCTCCTGCTAGCAATTAGAGTTTGCTTTGCAGCAGTAGAGGGGTCCCCATTCAAGCTGAGATGCTGTGCTGGCTGCAGATGAGTATGAATTTCAGAGTCATCTTGACCCACTGAAGCTGGCAGCTTCAGTAAGTGAAGCAGTGACAGGCTGCTATACACAGCTGGTCAACAGCCTCCAGGGAGAACAACCTCAGCTGGGAACAGGGCAAGGTTACTGGGACCCATGTAAGAACAGGGTGTCAGGCTAGCAAGGGCACATTGGTGTTTTCAAATGCACCAGGAGGATACATTCCATTGCACAATGGTAGAGTATTGCAATTTGCTTGGAGGACTGTGTTTGGTACAATACATGGTTACTATCTGACCGTGAATAAATACAGGCTAGAAGTTATTCAAATACTTTCATACATTAGGGCAGGGAAACTGTGAAGCAGAGGCAGGGCAAACAGCCAAAAAACTTCTGAGAAAGAGCTTAATAACTTTTATCAACAGGGTGGCATGACATTTGCCACAGTCCCATTGGTGCTTTTGATAGCAGTGTCAGAGCTCCCTGGACATGAAAGATCTTCCTTAGCCCTGTGCTTGTTCTTGGTGGTAAGAGGAAGGTCAGGGAGTGGAGGGGCCCTGACTCCAATGCACCCCAACAGTTCAGCCTTCACTGGTGTATAGCAGGACATCTAATAAAGAGCAGCTCTGTTATCTTGTTCCAGCTCTTCTGCTTGCTCCTCATGCAGTTTATGGCTGCATAGTCCAATATTTCAATAAATCCATGAAGTGTGGATTTAGTCATGCAGTTGTTTGCCACTGGGACTCCAGCAGTAATTGCTTTGAAGGGTCAAGTCCTTGGTGACCTGATAAGTCCTGACATGTAAGGGGCTCAGTGCAGAAGCTTTTGGTAAGTGCAGTCAACTTAATTTTGACAGTCTTTGCATGCAGAAGAGACATTCATTTTTAAATTCTAGTAGTTGTGAGGGTTCATTGTAAGTTTGCTGACCCTTAGTTAGAGTTGAGGGAAACAGATACTTGGACTAAAACACAACAGCTGTTAATCAGGCCATGAACTTGCAGATCAATACCATGCACTCTCCAAAAGAGTGAGTCAGAGTTGTGAATGGGATTTAGAAAGCCATGATATTTGTTTTCCTTGCCTTTTTCTTTTTTAATTGTGGGGAAATTGAGCCCCCTCCAAAAATGCATAACATCACTGAACAAAGACAAACCTGGGACCAACAGGAGGCATGGAAAGATCCAGCCATGAGAAGCCCCAGAACAGCATGTGACCTTACAGTAGGCATTCAGGGAGGCAAAGCTTGTGTGGCCCCATCACTCTCCTTGATGTTGCAAACAAGCCCCTAGTATACCAAGAGTGTATTTCATCTCCTTGCTGGGTTTTGCTCTACAACCTTTTTTTCTAGAAGTCCCCAGTTCTTTATCAAGATTTTAGGTTGCTGTGAACAACAAGGAGGGTGACTTTTCTGTGACACTCTTCCTTGTTCCACTCTTCAACCATGTGTTTTTTGGCAGGTTTGTGGGGCCTGGTGAACAACGCTGGCGTCTCAACCTTCGGAGAGGTGGAATTTGCAAGTTTAGACAACTACAAGAAGGTGGCAGAGGTCAACCTGTGGGGCACTGTGAGAGTGACAAAGGCTTTCCTGCCCCTCATTCGAAGAGCTAAAGGTACATACTGGGTAGTGTGGCAAGGCTCAGAGTTATTGTAGCACAGCAAAGAGATGTAGTTAAAAATCCAGGCTCTGCTTGGAGGAATGCCTGTGCAGTCCAAGGAGGCTGTCTGAGGCATGCAGTGTAAGCATTTGGTAGTACAGGGCACTCTTGGGGCAGGCCAGGCACCTACACTGCAGGTGTTATCTTAAACATCCAGGATGTCAGAGACCTTTGTGTAATGCTGGCAGATATCACACAGACAAGATAATCCAGAGTCCACTGAGTGCTTGTGTTTGGATAACTGAATCTTCTCCCTTCATGTTATTCAGTTCACAGATGATTTCAGGTAGTGATGGAATAAATGAGTCAATAGCAGCCAATTTAGATATCTTACAAGACAATGGTATTATCAAAACTCTTTGTTTTATATTAAGAAAGGTATGTATGAGCAGAACTCTGAAGAGCTTCTTTATTTGGTATGTGTGGGAATGCTGGCACAGGTGTGTGTTCTGTGAGGACAGAAAGGGGGTGTATTGAGAAGATTGCTCAGATACCGTTTCCAGAAAGCAAGTAACCACTAAGCAAGCTCCATCTCACTGCAGAAGGGATCTTACCCATCAGGTCAGCAGGTGGTTCCCTCTTAAGTTACACTTAGGTCTGGAATGAGACAGCAGAGCTATTCACTTGTTTCTCAGCTAAAATTTCAAACTGCAGAAGGATGTTGGGCTCTGTGGATGTGAAAATCCTCTGTGTAAAAATAGCTGGTGGGATTTCAAGGGCTTGTGTGTAAGTGCATCTGAAACTGTAGTTGCACACGGCATGTCTTGGGTAAGGGCAGAGACACCCACAGAGGAGTGACCACTGCTGGCTCCGTCCTGAGACGGTGCCTGATCTAACACAAGCTGCCAGAGCTCTGGAGTTGGGCTGTCATGGGCTGCTGGCAGGAGTAGGACAATTGGTCTCTACTGCCCCATGGACAGTGGCACATCAAGTCTCCCCTTGTTTGTCTCAGGCATGGACACTGTAGGCCCTCATGGCCGACTAGCTGGGTGAACAGGTTGTGCTGCTCATGTTGCATGTTCAGAGAACTCTCTACTCATTCTCTGCCATCCAGCTCGTGTCTAGAAGCATGTAGCTGAGTTGGGCAGAGGGACTGCAGTTGAGCTGTCTTGCTTACAGCAAGAACCAGAATGCTTGTATGGCATCACACAGAGCTGTGAGCTTTGCAGCTCATAACACTGCAAGCTGGAACCTTGAACCCTTCTCTAGCAGGACAAGGAGTGGGGCACACTGATGTGAGAACACACAGCTAGCAGGCTCAGAAGATCTGGGTACTTCCGTACTTGGAAATTCAGAGGGAAATGTCTTGTATGATTTGTAAATTCTTTTTGATACTGTGGCAGGGGATTTGTATGCCTCTTCAAGATTCAGATCTTAGAAATCAGCATCATCCAACTAAGCACCCTTTTACTGGGATGTTCTGGCTGCTGCTTCTGCAGCCCATCATCTCTCTCTGCTCTTTTCTCTCTAGGCCGTGTGGTGAATATCACGAGCATGTTGGGACGGATGGTGAGTCCATCTCGCTCCTGCTATTGCGTGTCCAAGTTTGGGGTGGCAGCCTTCTCCGACTGCCTGAGGCAGGAGATGTACCGCTGGGGTGTCAGAGTCATCCTGGTGGAGCCCAGTAACTTCGTGGCAGCGACCGGCATCCTGACGGCAGAGGGCATCGACAAACAGGCCGAGGCTCTGTGGGCCGAGGCCAGCGACACCGTGCGGGAGGACTATGGGGGGGAGTATTTCACTCGCCACGTGGCCATGATGAAGTCCTTTGTTAACAGCGGCCTGAAGGACATGTCTCTGGTTGTGAATGACATCACTGACGCGCTCACTTCCCCGTGCCCCAACAACCGCTACAATCCCATGGAGACCTACTGGTGGGTGAGGCTGCAGGTCATGACCCACCTGCCCACGGCCATTGCCGACTGGCTTTACATCCCTGGAGCCACCCTGTAAATGGCCGTCCTTCTGGCACCCTTCCAGGGCTCGTACTCACGCACAGGTTACTGCTCACCTCTGCACTCCTTGCTGATGTGTCTCCCCTGTAGATGCAGGATTATGGCTTCAAGTCATGTCTTGTGGAATGCTAGAACAGCATAGCTTTTTTGTTTGTTTTTTTTTCCTAATTCTTGTTTGTATTCCCTACTGTCCTGATTAAAGTCGAAAGGTATTTTCCTTTTAACTAGGAGGCAGAGGAAGGTTAACATAATGGATCAAATATGTGGCTAGTGGAATTGGGTCAGCAGAATTCCCCCAGCGATAAATTTGGCTCATTAATGGGTCTTGCTTTTCCTTACAAGGATGACCTGCTAATAGCAGAGCAAAGCTGTTGCTATGAGATGGCTCAAAGGGAAAACTAAAATGGGAAACCAAAGCAAAGTTTTCCTTTTGATTGAAAATGGGTCAGTCACAGCCTTCCATTGTTTTTATGATACTGCTAGGAAGCTCTGCTGCACTGTGACTGTCTGCTCTTTCCAGGGAAACAGCCACACTGCCTCTAAATAGCCTTATTACCTAGCTGCAAAGAAGGGCTCTTCCCTCCCTGCACTGTGGCCAGGAGACGCCAGAGCAAACAACTGGGGATAGGCTGGGCTGGTAAAAGCGCTTCTAATAATGAGTGAGGTCTGAGCCATCCCTCAGTCAGTCCCTGTGGGTGCTGGGATTTGCAGCCTCTCTCCACCTGCTGCTGCAGAGCTTTGCGGAACAAGGTTTAAGCTGATGTAGCAAACAAATTTGGCTCCTCTGACTGCTACCTTAGGTGCCTAAACTACTCAGCTGTGGTACCGACACTCCTCCTGCTTCCCTCACGTCACTGTCCCATCCAGACTCCCTCTTGCTGGTGAGGGAGCTGCTGTTGGCTTTCCCAAATCAGTTTTTTTGGTTTAATCCTCTGCGCCTGAACAGTGACAGGGCAGTGTGCAAGCAGCATGACCTGACTATGAGCTCTGGAAAGGTCCTTTAGGAGGCACATTTCTTACCTTTAATATTGCACAGTGAAATCTGCATGTCACACAATCATCTTCTCTGAGAACCTCCTGATAACTGTTATGGGCTACTCTTGCCCAGTATCTCCAAGGGTCTCTCCTGTTGGCCATATACAGGATTTCAATAATTTTTCCAAGTGCTGGGGCTGCCTGGCTTCATGCCCTATTCCCTCTGTTCCAGTGGTAACCACTGGTGGAGCAGCCAGGAGGCTGCGGGTGCTGCTGGCCAAGCTGGTACCCCACCCTCTTACTCTAGGGACCAGCTTTTCCTTCCACTGTTTTGCCTTATGTGAGATTCAGTGGCTGTGAAAAGAGCTTATTGATTGTTCTTTTTTCATCTGTCTCTGCTAGCTCTGACGTGGAAACTGTGCCTTAAACTTTTTGATTGCCACTGGCTGTAAATTCTTGGAGTCTGCATGCAGCCATGAATGCTGTGATGCCTTGAGGAGGAAAGCAGACTTCCCTTGGAGATGCTGTCAAAGCAGCTTGTATTACAAGTAACAACTCCTGAAAATACTGCTGTGCAGTTCTTTTTTATTCCAGATCATCAGCACATGGAGATTGCCTGGGATTCAGGACCTAGAAGGATCCCACTGAACTGCAGCTTAAACAGTGTTTTAATCACTTCTTCCCACTGTGAAATATGATTACTGCTAAGTAGCTCTGATTTGCACAGAGAGAAAAATAAACTGTGAGATTTGTAAAGCATATATCTCTGGCTCCAGTGCTCATTTCTACTTTGGTTTTCTCACCCCTTTAGAATCTGAGGCCGGTATTTCATTAAGTTCAGTAATTAAGGTGGTGGTGATGCTTCAGCAGATAGTGGGACTGTAGAAGCTCAGTGAGAACCTCCTGGAGCAGAACAGACAGCATGGTCTGCTTCCTCAGCAGAAGGCAGCTAGAGAGGCCTCTCTGCAAACGTACACATCGTCAGTGTTTGTGTTTTATGTGATTTCCCTCGAAGGACAGCATTGAGAGCAGTGCTGTGTATTATTCATTGCCTCAGTGCTCTGTGTAACTAATCCAAGTGCTACAGCTGCCTGGTAATAAGGATTAGCTCTTCTCACAGACAGGACAGAGACTGGCAAGCCAAGAAGTGTCCAAGGCCATGCAGGACCTTGTGGTTGAGTCAGGGTTAGGATTTCACAGCATGTGAGCCCCAATCCCTTCCTCTGCCCCCTGAGAAGTGCTCAGCCAGTGCCTGATCTGTTTTCTGCCTAGATGGGGAGCTCTAGGTGGGTGTCTGGGGGTGAGAGGAGCAGAGTGCTGGTGCAGGAAGAGCAATTACTTTTTGTGGCAGAATAATAAATGTGGCATCTCCTATCTTCTGCGTGAAAGCCACTACAAGTCTTACAAAGTCTTCTGAACTGCTACAGCTGCACAGAGCAATGTGCCAGGATTGAGGGCAGGCATTAACACCATTAACACCATTGTGCTGCTTTTAAAGGGCACCAGGGTTAACCATCACCCCACAGGCACATTGCCCAGGGACCTTGAGCTGCAAGTCAGGAGAGAGCTCTGCACTGTGTTTTACTGCATAGCTCCAGGGCCTCTCTGACAGAGCAGTTTTGCTCCCAGGGGTGCAGGTAGCACCTGTTACCTTGTGGGGTCAAGTGCTTCAAGAGAAGTCATTTTCCTGGTGGGAATTTAACCAGGGTTACTATGACAATCAGTCAGCAGGCTGTCCTCATGTTTCCTTCCTGTTTTCTGCCTGCTCAGAGGTGTTGATTTGGAGCACAGCAAAGAACTTTCCCTTTCCAGCTCTAATGAGAGGCAACCGTTGCTCCTGGAAGCATGACTAAGGAGGGAGCTGTTGGGAGAGGGAATGCTCCCTGACAAGGCCCTTCAGCTCCATCACTTACTTCAGGGAGGGGTGTCAGTCCCTGTGTCCCACCAGAGACATCCAGTGGGTGTCTGGAGTATGGCTATGCAGCTTCTCTTCCTGTGGGAAGCAGAGCACAAGTGCTTGTGCAGGTACTTACCCTGGCAGCCCTCCAGAAAAGAAGATGGGGATCAAGTGCTCCAATACCTTGGTAATGGGGAAGTGTCTGCAGAAAATCTGCCTGGGGACTCAGGAAAGGCTTCAAGGTGGCAATGGCCATCTTTAAAGAGGATGAGACGGTGCAGTGGCTTGGCTCTTGGCGTGAGGTGCCCTAAAGGAGGTGGAGGACACAGTCACTCAGTGGGTTCAGTGGTCTGTCCATCCCAGTAAGAGATCCCAGGGTCAGCACTGGTGTGGGGATGTTGCCAGTGCTTTTACTGGCTTTTGCTGCCACACCACGTGCATATGCAGGAAATACCTCTCCTCCCCATCTTCCTCACATACTCTTGGCCCCCACACTATGTAAGTCCCAACCTCATCCCCTCCCTGCACATGTTCTTTTGCTGCACACCTGCTCGACAAGCGAGTCCCTACAACTCTGTAGCCCAAGAGCACATATGGACCTTCTTTTTGCACCACTGTCTCTTTTCCACCCGTGAGTCACACATGAGCTGCCTGGTTCCCTCAGGCTTTGGGGATGGACACCTGTACCAGGTGGCTGCTCCCCTCCTGCAGCACTAACAGGAGCAGGAAGCCCCCAGCTCACTGGGGGCAGGCATGGCACTTGGCACAGCTGGTCCAGCTTCTGGCTCAGGCAGCTTTCCCTCCTGCAGGCACGAGCCAGGAGCTGGCTTCCAGCCCTGTCTGTGCGTGGGCACTTGCAGACTCAAAATCAGCCCCAGGTTGATCCGTTGCATCCCAAGGAAGTTCTTACAGTGCTCTACATCTGTCCAGGTGTGAGAAGATTTTGTTCTCAAGAATTTTTCAAGAATAATTATGTTGGGGAATGGAAGAAATAACATGTGTTGTCATAAAAATTCAAGATAATTTGATAATGCATATGTGTTCTCACCCCAGGTCTCTTTACACTAAAATACATGCCTGACTAGTATTCCTGAGGTACAGCACAGCATTTTTACTACTGTCTAAACTAATAATTCCTAAAATCTCCCAACTTGTTTGAATGAAACTCACCATGAATGGTATCTCTGTGCTGTTTCAAACTGTAACTACATATTGCATCAAAATTACTGACCACTGAATTTATGTTATTTATTTTCTGTACAGCATAAACCCCAGTCTAGCAAACACTTAGGCCTGTGTTTCAATGCAAGCTGTGTGTGCTCAGGCCCAGCCTCAATGCAGCTATTCATGGGCAAAGCCAAACACATATGCCAGTGTCTTTGTGCTCCACAGCCTGTGCAGAGGGATGTGACTTGCTCTTTGAGAAAGGGCATTCTTAAAATTCTCCTCTGACCTGTGATGTGAGATTGGGGGGCTCAGAGATACAGAGTGGAAATGCTGTGCTGGCTGGTGGAGAAGTCCATCAGGACCAAAGTGCTGCCCCTGGGTCTTCCTGGTGCATATATAAAAGAAATATAAAACAGCCTTGAGGCCTATGAGTGGGGGATATCTGAGGGTCTGAGGCCATCCTTGAACTCTGTGTGTGATTCCTGCACTCCTGGTAGCTGATGCTCTGCAGTGCTCCCATAGCAGGGGATCCTGTGTCCCTGCTGAAGGGCTTCTCGCTTGGCTGGCAGGAAGCATAATCTGCAGGAGATTCCCTAATTGCATTTCTTAATGCAGTAGAGGCCATTCTCTCTCTCCGTAAGCAGAGCTGCAATTACCTACACACTATAAATCTGTGTCATGAGGAAGATGTAGGTTGTATATAGGTCATAGAAAATATAATTGTGTAACTGCATTAACGCATCCCTGAGCTAAGGGCTGAAATATGGCTTAACTGCAGAAAATAGGGCTGTGGGCTTTAAATAGCCTTCCTCGAGCATCTCTTGGACAGAGCTGGTGATTCCGTGAACAGATCACTGTGCCTCCTCCAGGGGAACAGAAAATCCCTTTGCAGAAGGTGCTCTCTAAGCATGTTTAATGACCTTTTTTAGACCATTTATAATATATTTCAGTATGCTGGAGGTTGCTGGTCCAGAGAAAAGCATCATGAATCTGCTGGGGAGTGTGTGAGATCTCCTCTGAGAAGGGGATGCAGAGCAGGGCAGCTGGGGTGTTCTTTGGGCTGGGCTCAGCAGGGCACAAGAGGACCCATCTGAGGGGAGAGCAGCACCTTGAGCTGAGCTGAGCCATGGAGCCAGGGCCCTGCAGTGCCCATGAGATTTAAATTTGAGCAGGCATCCACAGGCAGGGCCCATGGGAGTCTGGTAAATGCCCATGGGATCTGCTCCCACATCCACTGGAGAAGTCCTATTCTGCCCCCTTCTGCTGTGCACTCCTCACTGCCCTCGTGAGGACAAGACCTGGCTGAACACCTGCCCTGCCAGAACCTGGTGTCTGCTGTGAGAACGCAGCAGCAAATGCATCAACAAAACTTTTTTACCTTATTTAGCAGCATTAGGCTGCCCTTGGTGTGGGGCACTGGGACACACCGGATGTCCAGGATTATGGACACTGCTGGAACTCTGGTTTTTATGGGGAGCCCATCCACAGGGGTGAGATGCCACCGAGCCAAAGCTTTGCCACTGAGCCAAAGCTTTACCACTGATCCAGCTCTGCAATGTATTTCTCTATACAGAGACCTTTATTTTCTTCTGTTTTGGGTTTTTTTCTGCTTTCTGAAGAATAAATATCCCTCTGGCTCCTCTCTCTGCAGGGACTTGGATCGTGGCAGCAGTGCCAAGCAGTTCTTCAGCCAGGCCAGAAACAATGCTGGTCCTTCACCTTAGGGTTTGTCCCTTAAATAATAATATCCTTTTTGGTTTTCCAGCTTCTTAAATCTCTCTCTTTAGTTTCTTGTGTTTTGAATACATAACTGGTTAATTTTCAGGGTGAAGAGCTACTCACTAATAGCTTATAGATGAATCACAACATCTTTTGTGCACTTGCACTGGACCAAATTCCCATATCCCAGAGGCCAGTTCACGCTTCCAGAGTCTGTTTACTTCCTTTGCTGTCATAAGTGTAATTTAAAATTTGACACCATTTTGCATAAATGGATTTCAAAGAACTTTTTACCACTCCTGAAAACAGAGGAAAATTCCCACCTGTCTTCCTTTTCTCTGTTTTATCTCCTGCAAGTTAATCTTTGTTTCTGTATACATGTTGCAACTTGTCTGACCAACCCAAAGCCTCATTTCTTTCAGAGGAGGAAGAAAAACACCAAAAATGAACTTGCCAGAGAAAAGACAGAGGAAGGAAGGGAAGGCATGTCCTGAGCTGGGAAGAGCTGGCTATGCAAACAACATTGTCTCCGTGGTGGGACTCTCGGGACTCCCAGATTATCCTGGTTCCCAGGATATGATGCCTCAACACTGCAGGTCACACAGAGAGGCTCCAACACTGGGTCTTCAAAGGCAGCAGGCCTGCACACAAGATCTGTTCATGCAGAATGGCACAAAATGGCCATGTCTGTGGCAGCTTTCCAGCCCCTGTGAGTTTGGGCTGCTGAGGCACTATCAGGAGATGAAAACTTCCTTGTGGGGATAGGCAGGGAACCCTGGGCTAGCAGCTACCAGAACAGGCACTGGTGGTGTCCTACAAGGAAAGTATATGCCCAGAGCTTCTGATCCCTGCAGTGCTTCCACTGGACGCTTTTTCTCTTGATAAGAGCTTGGGCAGCT